GAGGAGAAAGGAGGAGGACGAGAAGGAGAGAAGAAGACGAAGGGAGGGGGAGGAGGAGGAGGAGGAGAGAAGAAGAAGGGAGGGGGAGGAGGAGAGAGATGAGGAGGAGGAGAAGGAGGAGGAGGAGGAGAGAAGAAGATGAAAGGAGGAGGAGGAGGCGGACCTGCCGATTTTGAGTTGCGTTGACGGAAAAAAAAAAAAAAAAAAACAGAGGACGAAGGAGGAGGAAGAGGAGGAGGACAAAAAGGAGAGAAGAAGACAAAGGGAGGGGGAGGAGGAGGAGGAGGAGAGAAGAAGAAGGGAGGGGGAGGAGGAGAGAGATGAGGAGGAGGAGGAGAAGGAGGAGGAGGAGAAGGAGGAGGAGCGAAGAAGATGAAAGGAGGAGGAGAAGGCATACCTGCCGATTTTGAGTTGCGTTGACGGAAAAAAAAAAACAAAAAAACAAAAATGACGAAGTAGGAGGAAGAGGAGGAGGAGGAGGAGGAGAAAGGAGGAGGAGGAGGAGAGAAGAAGAAGGGAGGGGGAGGAGGAGAGAGATGAGGAGGGGGAGAAGGAGGAGGAGGAGAAGGAGGAGGACGAGGAGGAGGAGACAAGAAGATGAAAGGAGGAGGAGGAGGCGCACCTACCGATTTTGAGTTGCGTTGACGGAAGAAGAAAAAAAACAAAAAAAAAAAAGATGACGAAGGAGGAGGAAAAGGAGGAGGAGGAGGAGAGAAGAAGATGAAGGGAGGGGGAGGAGGAGGAGGAGGAGAGAAGAAGAAGGGAGGGGGAAGAGGAGAGATAATGAGGAGGAGGAGACAAGAAGATGAAAGGAGGAGGAGGAGGACCTGCCGATTTTAAAGTGCGTTGACGAAAAAAAAAAAAAAAAAAAAGATGACGAAGGAGGAGGAGGAGGAGGAGAAAGGAGGAGGAACTTCGGCTGACACGTGGCACGTGGCACTTCGACTGATAAAGAAAACTAACGAGGAGGAGGAGGAGGAGGAGTAGGAGAAAGGAGGAGAAGAGAAGAAGATGAAGGGAGGAGGAGGAGGAGGAGAAGGATCTGCCGGTTTCTTGATACGTCAAGGGAAAAAAAAGAAAAAGAAAAGGATGACGGGAGAGGAGGAGGAGAAGGAGGGGGAGAGAGGGAGAGAGAGAG